CCCTTTTTTTCACCAGTTTGTCTAGTGAAAGTTGGACCAACCAACCAGCTTCCTTATACTTCTCATTATGACGAAATTGTAGAAAGATATTATACGTGCAATTACCCAGAGCCTCACCTCTCACTAATACCTGATCTATTGGTGGTGATCTTTTGTGTATTTGTATTGCCACCTCATGCCATGGATTAGCAGTGCCCTCTTTACTACCAGAAGTAGAGTCATCCACATCTTTAAGGCTAACCAGAGTTGAGAATCAATTTAGAAAATTCATCCTTACAATTTTGTTTCTCTAGAACTACTCAGAATGCCAAATGTTTTAGGCTAGATTCTCTAGAGAAGCAAAACCAGTGAGGCATATAAATATATATATAAAGAGATTTATAACAAAGGAATGGCTCATTCAGTTGTAGAGGCTAGAATATCCCAAATCTGTGGGTCAGAATAAAGGCTTCTCCTTATTCATGTAGCTGCAGGGGTTGGCAAACCCAAGACTGGCAGGTAAGAGACAGGGGCTTTTGCTTGCTCTGGATCCTGCAGCTGGCTCCTGTTCATCTGACCTCCAGTACTTGGGTCTTGAGCTGGTAGCTTACCTGTGGTCTTGCCTACTGTTCTTGGGATTCATCAGTCTTCACAAGTGTGAACAAGAGCCCTGCTAAAGCAAATGGAATAAATGATGAAGTAAAAGAGCTGAACAGAAGATTTCAAAGGGCAGCTCGAGAAGAGAAAGTAAAGTATATAATGACATAGTCAAAGATCTGGAGTTAGAAAACCAAAAAGGAAGAAGCAGCTCAGCATTTCTCAAGCTGAAAGAACTGAAGAAAAAATTTAAGCCTCGAGTCACAATATTGAAGGATTCTATGGGGAAAATATTAAAAGATGCAGGAAGCATCAAAAGAAGATGGAAGGAATACACAGAGTCATTATACCAAAAAGAATTGGTCGATGTTTAGCCATTTCAGGAGGCAGCATATTGTCAGGAACCAGTGGCACTGAAGGAAAAAGTCGAAGCTGCACTGAAGGCATTGGCAAAAAACAAGGCTCCGGGAATTGACGGAATACCAATTGAGATGTTTCAACCAACAGATGCAGTGCTGAATGTGCTCACTCATCTATGCCAAGAAATTTGGAAGACAGCTACCTGGCCAACCAACTGGAAGATATCCATATTTATGCCTATTTCAAAGAAAGGTGATCCAACCAAATGTGGAAATTATCAAACAATATCATTAATATCACACGCAAGTAAAATTTCCTGATGATCATTCAAAAGTGGCCATAGCAGTATATTGACAAGGACTGCCAGAAACTCAAGGCAGATTCTGAAGAGCATGTGGAACAAGGGATATCATTGCTGACATCAGATGGATGCTGAAAGCAGAGAATACCAGAAAGATGTTTACCTGTGTTTTATTGACTATGCAAAGACATTAAACTGTGTGGATCATAACAAATTATGGATAACATTGCGGAGAATGGGAATTCCAGAACACTAAATTGTGCTTGTGAGGAACCAGTACATAGACCGAGAGGCAGCTGTTTGAACAGAACAAGGGCATACTGTGTGGTTTAAAGTCAAGAAAGATGAGCATCTGGGTTGTATCGTTTCACCATGCTTGTTCCATCTGTATGCTGAGCAAATAATCCGAGAAACTGGATTATATGAAGAAGAACAGGGCATCAGGATTGAAGGAACACTCATTAACAAGCTGTGTTATGCAGATGACACAACCTTGCTTACTGAAAGCGAAGAGGACTTGAAGCACTTACTGGTGAAGATCAAAGACCACAGCCTTCAGTATGGATTACACCTCAACATAAAGAAAACACAAATCCTCACAACTGGACCAATAAGCAACATCATGATAAACGAAGAAAAGATTAAAGTTGTCAAGGATTTCATTTTACTTGGATCCACAATCAACACCCATGGAAGCAGCAGTCAAGAAATCAAACGACGTACTGTATTGGGCAAATCTGCTGCAAAAGACCTCTTTAAAGTTTTAAAAAGCAAAGATGTCACCTTGAAGATTAAGGTGCACCTGATCCAAGCCATGGTGTTTTCAATCACCTCATATGCATGTGAAAGCTGGACAATGAATAAGGAAGACCAAAGAATTCATGCCTTTGAATTATGGTGTTGATGAAGAATATTGAATATTCTATGGACTGCCAAAAGAACGAACAAATCTGTCTTGGAAGAAGTATACCTAGTATGCTCCTTAGAAGCAAGGATGGTGAGACATTGTCTCATGTACTTTGGGCATGTTATCAGGAGGGACACATCCCTGGAGAAGGACATCATGTTTGGTAGAGGGTCAGCAAAAAAGAGGGGGACCCTCAACAAGATGGACTGACATAGTGGCTACAATAATGGACTTAAGCATAACAACGATCATGAGGATGGTGCAGGATGGGGCAGTGTTTCATTCTGTTGTAGAGAGGGTTGCTATGAGATGGAACCAACTCGACGGCACCTAACAACAACAACAACAACAACCAATATTGATGTCAATTCTTCTCTAAATGTTTGGTAGAATTCTCCAGTGAAACCATCTGGTCCATGGCTTTTTTGTTGGGAGGTTTTTGATCACTGATTCGCCCTCTTCAATTGTTATGCGTCTTGTGAGACTTTCTATCTCCTCTTGCGGTACTTTCGGTAGGTTGTGTGCTTCTAAGAATTTGTCCGTTTCATCTAGACTATCCAGTTTGTTGCCCTATAGTTGTTCATACAATTCTGCATAATTCTCTTTTTTTTCTATCTGGTCAGTTGTAATGTCTCTTCTTTCATTTCTTATTTTGGTTATTGGCATCTTTTCTCTTTTTTTTCATTGTCAGTCTAGCTAAAGATTTGTCAGCTTTATTGATCTCTTCAAAGCACCAACTTTTTGATTTACTGATTCTCTATATTGCTTTTCTGTTTTCGATTCTATTTATTTCTGCTCTGATCTTTTTCATTTCTTTCTTCTGGTAGGCTTAGGCTTAGTTTGGTCTTCTCTTTCTAGTTCCTGTAGTTGTAGGGTTAGGCTGTTAATTTGAGATCCTTCTTCTTTTTTATGTAGGTGTTTATTGCTATGAGTTTCCCTCTGAGTGCTGTTTTCACTCCATCCCATAAGTTTTGGTATGTCGTGCTTTCCTTTTCATTTGACTTTAAGAAATTTGTAATTTCTTCCTTGACCCATTGGTAGTTTAACAGGATGTTGTTTAATTTGTTTAATTTCCATATGTTTGTGTATTTTTCAGGTTTTTTTTTTTTTTTTCTGTGATTGATTTCTACCTTCACTCCAATGTGGTCGGAGAAAATACTTTGAATGATTTCAGTCTTCAAATTTATCAAGATTTGTTTTGTCACCTAAAATGTGGTCTGTCCTGGAAAATGATCCATGTGCACTGAGGTAGAATGTATATTGTGATGTTTTTAGGTGGAGTGTTCTGTATGTCTCTGTTAAGTCTAGTTGGTTTATAGGTCATTCAAGTTCTCTGTTTCCTTGTTGATCTTCTTTCTGTATGTTCTATCCAATATTGAAAGTGGTGCATTGAAGTCTCCAACTATTGTTATAGTACTGTCTATTTCTCCCTTCAATTCTATCAGTGTTTGCTTTATATATTTATGTGCCCCAATGTTGGGTGCATATATAGTTATGATTGTTAAATCTTCTTGATTAATTGACCTTTTATCATTATTTAATGTCCATCATTATCTCTTCTAACAGATTTTGTCCTAAACTCTACTTTGTCTAATAATAAGATTCTCACTCCAGGTGTTTTTGCATGAAATATTTTTTTCCATCCTTTCACTTTTGACCTATTTGTGTCCTTGGGTTTAAGGTGTGTCTGTTGTAAACAGCATATAGTTGGATCACGTTTTTTATCCATTCTGCCACTCTCTGGCTTTTGATTGGAGCATTTCAACCATTTCTGTTTACTGTAATTACTGATAAGAAGTGACTTACTTCTGCCATTTTGTTATTTGTTTTTGTGTGTCTTAAGTGTTAGTAAGTCACTTCTATAGCCTTGATTTACTCAACAATAATACGGTACTAATTACATGATTCTATTGATCACAGCTGTCTAATTCCATTGTACATGGGGTTACCTTGAGTGGAGGACAAACTTGAGAATTGCCAGCAATGATTACATGATGCAGTACTGGGTTGGTACTAGCTAGTAGCCACTCAGCTGCTAACTGAAAGGTTGGGGGTTCCAATCCAACCTCAGAATAAAGGTGATCTATTTATGAGAAATCAGTTACTGAAAACCCTGTGGAGCACAGTTCTACTCTGGCACACATGGAGTCACCATGAGTTAGAATTAACTGGATGGAACCTGGTTTTAATTACATAACATGGTAATGTGCCTTCCTTGCAGAGTAGCTGCATATAAAGGATCCAAGCTCGGTGGCATGCTTGGCTGCTAACTGAAGGTTGGTGGTTGCAACCTACCAGTTGCTTGGGACAAAGATGTGGCACTCTGCTTCCATAAAGACTACAGTTTATGAAACCCTAAGGGACAGTTCTATACTGTCCTACAGGGTGGCTGTGAGTCAGAAATGACTCAGTGGTGCACAAGTACAACAGAACAGAGCTCGACCATCAACGAATATAGATGCTAAATAATGAGAGTTACGTAATTTTAACTAGAATCACTTTTTATTGAAAGTATATGCCAGGCACAGGTCTCCCTGTATCTCATCTATGCTATCTAATTGTGTCAGAATTTTAAAGAGTCTGGATTCCGAAATTCTTTTAATCCAATAAATCTTAACTTCCAAACTCAGCCCGCCTTCAACTCTAAGCCACGTCAATTTCCTCCTCCCACCCGGAATGTGTCTTTCTTAGTCCCGCCCCGAATCCTGCTCCTTCAGTACTCGCGCTTCTCAGAGTTGCAGTCCCCGCTGAGCCTCTCGAGGATTGGCGCGCACGCGCAGCACGCGGGGCGCATGCGCAGTGCTGGGCGCTGCCGCCGCTCTGGTCTTTCGGGGCTGAGGTGGCTTCCCCGGGGCCGGGTTGACGAGGGGCGTCATGGCCGAGGGCAGCGGGGAAGTAGTCGCAGTGCCCGCGTCCGGGGGTGCCAACAGCCTCAGCAATGGGGCCAGTGGGAACTCGGCGCAGACCAGCAACCCGCTATCGCGGAAGCTGCATAAGATTCTGGAGACGCGGCTGGACAACGACAAGGTTAGCGGGGCTGGAAGGGCCTGGACGTCAAGGGTCTCCGTGGGGCTGACGGGGCTGGGGCGGCTTCTGTCCGGCGGTCACATCTGTCCGGCGCCCACCACCGCCTGCCTGGTCCCTCCGCAGAGGGACCCCCCCAGGCGACCGCGGACTCGCGGGCCAGCTGCGTGGACGGCGCGGGGCGGGGAGTGGGGGAGGCTGAGGAGCGCCGGGGAAGGAGAGGTTCCTCGAGGACCCGCTGGGTGTGGAGGCGGGCGGCGGAGTCCGGGACAGGGCCCTGGGAGCTCTGAGGGTCCGAGAGGGGAGAGCACAGGGCAGGAGGAGAAGCCCGAGCTAGAGCGGGCGACGAGACGGGCAGCGCGCCGCGGGGCTTGGGAGAAACGGAGGAGAGCGGTAGGCTTAACCGAGCGTTTCCATGGACACGTAAAAAAGCTAAAATCAAGTGCACTGCGAAAGAACTACTTCTTACCACAGCCTCAGATGAAATCCTGTCTGCTGGTTTTTGTTGTGAGCTCAGGCTGTATTTACTTTACAGGGTAAGGTGCCCATATGTTCCCCCAGGTGCCTCCGGAAATTTGGAAATTTAGGTTAGACTTTCCAGCGTCAGTCATTGACTCTCCGGATGAATTGGTCATGCCACTGTAGCATGCAAAAAAAAACAAAAACGTAAAAGTGGAGTTTTATAGATAAACCTGTAGGCAACGGAAAATAAGCTGAATTTGACTTGCGTGTCTGAAAAACAATGTTATAATGTAATGAGTAAAGGTGGGCTGGGCGCCGCCACTTACTACATGTGACCACTGAATTGGGGCATTATGATTTGAGTTAGTCCTTTAACTTCCCTAAGCTTCTGTAACTTCTCTAAGCCAGTAACTTCCTCAGGATTGTTGTGAGTGTTCAATGAGATAATCCAGTTGAAGTGCTCAGCACAGTGCCTGGCATTTACTGTTTCTTAATAAATGTTAATGTAATCATACCATGTTTTTAGTGCTTAACATGTGTGTAATTATCTAATATTAACATCTGTTTCGTTTACTACAGATACTCTGATGTTACCATTAATCAGTTGCCCTAGAGTGGATTCCAATTTATGGTGACCCCAGTGTGTGTCAGAGTAGAACTGTGCTTCATAGGATTTTAAATGGCTGATTTTTCAGAATTAGATCACCGGACCTTTCTTCTGAGGCACCACTAGGTGGACTGGAACCTCCAACCTTTAGGTTAGCAGCTAGTGCATTAACTGTTTGTACCGCCCAGGGACTCCTAACACAGACATACATGACATTGTCTCCATTTTACATCTGGGGAAAATAAGGCATGGAAAGCATGCACCCAGGTTAAGTCATATAACTAGCAAGTGGTGGAGCTGTAACTTGGACCTGAATTTGTGTGACTTTGTTCAGAGTTCACTGTTTCTTTTAAACTGAGGAGCTCTGATGGTGCACAGTGGTTAAAGCACTTGGCTGCTAACTGAAAGGTCGATGGTTTGAACCCACCAGCTGCTCCGCAGGAGAAAGATGTGGCAGTCTGCTTCCATAAAGATTTACAGCCTTGAAAACCCTATGGGGCAGTTCTGCTGTGTCCTATAGGATTGCTGTGAGTTGGAAATGACTTGACAACAGTGGGTTTGGTTTTTGGTCTTTTAAACTGGACCCTAGGACAATTTAAAACTATAGTCAAAGAAATGATTTTATGTTTTTAGGGTTTTTTGGGGAGGGTACAATAAATATTTGTGTTTGTAAAAATACTTTTGCTTTCTCTTAAATATTAAAGTGAATTTAAATTGTCGGTTTAGCCAGTATTTCAAAAAAACATTGTAACAGAAAAATGGAGGGGTAAGTCTGTTAGCATATACATTCATTCAGTGTAGGAATTTATATCTGTAGGCTTTAGGGTACTGTTGGGATATCTCAGGCTTGATCCTCTGTTGTCTCTTCCATCCAGAGTCTCTCTGGAGAACTCTTTGAGTTCCATGGTTTTAAATAGTGAAAAGTTTAAAACCTCAAATTTATAACCTCGTTCCTGGAATCTCTACTGTGTTCTGGATTTATAGAGTCAGTTGTCTATGTGACACCTCCAACTGGATATCTGATCGACAAAATAAAAACATATCATGGCCAGATGAACACTAGATTGCTCCCCAGACTGGTTCCTCCTCCACTGTTGGTAAAGAGTGTCACCATTTACCTGCTCAAGCCAGAGGTATAGGAGTAATGTAGGGATAATTTTTATTCCTCTCATTTTTTCACACCTTACATCCAGTCCATTAACAAATTCTTTAGGTTCATCTAGTGGAATAACCATGAGTCTGTTTAAATTTAAAAACGAGTTTTATTATGGCAAAAAAGTCTTCTGCAAAATGGGGAAACAGTGCTGGGAGAAATCCAACAATGTGCTCCAAGGGGCTTCAGTAATACGGGGATTTATGAAGGAAAAATCCGAAAACAGTAAGGTACAGCTAAAACGTTTTTGATTGGTTAACATTTACAGAGCTTAGGGGGGTGTTAGAACAAGGTTATGGGAAAGTATTGGGCTTTGTAAGGACTCAGGCACAGGTTAGAAAAACATTTTTTTTAGGGAGCAAAGGGACCATTTTCTGAGAATTGGCTGACCACCAAAGTCACATACTTAACACCTGTGATAAGCTTTTCCTTACATCGGCCATCTTAAACCACAAGCTCATCTTCTTAGAACTTTTGGACAAGCAGAATAGGGTAGACAAAACCACATTTATCTATCTAGGTAAGGGTACAGTGGAATGATTTACAGAAGTGACAAGCTGTGTTATATGACAGAAACTACATGTAGAAATCCAAGATGGAGTCACTTAGGTCAAGAAAGGATTTGGCTTAGACCCTAGGTAGAATTCTCAGTCATGTCAAGAGTTTTGGTTTTGCAGTGCTCTTCCTTAGAATTTTTTTGGTCTGTCTCCCCTTTTTCTCTCCGTACTGCTACCATCTTGATGTAAGCCAGTGTCAAATCTTTGAATTTTTTAAATAGCCTCTAGGTGCTTAATTGCTTCTTGTCCTCTCGCTAACATCCATCCTTCTCACAACATTAGAATAAACTTTTAAGCATATTTAGCATATTACTTAAAATCATTTTTCATGGCAGATCCCACTGTGGACTATTCTTCTGCTGGCTTGCTATTCTTTAGTCACACTGGCCTTCTTTCTGCTGCCTTAGAGTCTTTGTACTTGCTGTTCTCTCGCCCATGGGAGGTCTTCCCTGACCGCTCTCTAAAGAAGTTCCCCAACCCTCACTGAAGACTGTGCTGTGTTAGTGCTTACCTCATTGTATTAGTTTCCTATTCCTGCTGTAACAAATTACTGTAAATTTGTTGTTGTTAGTTGCTTTTCAGTTGATTCCGACTCTGGCGACCCCATAAATTTAGTGACTTAAAACAATACAGATGCATTCTCTTATAGTTCTAGAGGTCATAAATCCAATATCAGTCTCAGTGGGCTAAAATCAAGATGTCAACAGGGCTTGTTCCCTCAGGAGGCTGTAGGGGAGAGTCCCTTTCCCTGTCTTCTGCAGCTTTTAGAGACCATCCACATTTTGTGACTCATGGCCCTGCATCACTTTCATCTCAGCTTCAGTGGTCACATGGCCTTGTCTGACTCTGATCCTTCTTATAAAGACCCTTGGGATTACATTGGACCTACCTGCATCATCCAGGATAACCTCACCATCTCCAGATACTTGATTTAAAAATCACATCTGCAGAGTCATTTTGCCATGTAAAGTTACATATTCACAGATTCTGGGGATTAGGACATGGACATCTTAGGGTGGCCATTTTTCAGCCTAACATGCTCATCATTCTCTTTTACTTTCTTTTCAGCACTTGTAATTATCTGCAGTTATCTTGTTTATTTATTTGTTCTTTGTCTGTCTTTCCACCCCTCTAGAATGTAAGCTACCTGAAAGTAAGGGACTGGCCTGTCTTTACTGCTGTATCCCTAGCATCTAGAGCAGTGCCTGGCATATATTTAGATATTCAGGACATTTTTCTTACCTAATTGCATTAAATTATACATTAAAATAAAAATAGCATCATGGTGACTAGAGGAGAAGACTCTGATGAGCTTAGTTTAGTGAAGAAGAGAACCAAAAGACTTTTTTAAAATGAGGCAATTTATTTATCTGTCCACCATTAGAATTTGAATTAGGCACATGGAAACAGCCTTAAATTTAATTAATGATTTTTTTTTTTTTTTTAGCTTAAATTACTTTCTTGATTTTGATAACCTGAAGAGGCTCCTTAAATCCTAAGTGTAGGTAGGCCCTTGAATTACTTCATGTACTTCTGTTTTTCTTGTGTGTAGTTTGACTCTTGTAGAGAAAATCTGGAACTATTTAAAGAGTTTTAAATATTATGTTTTTCACTAGTTAATACATTAACACTGTACAAAAAAAACCCCAAAAGAAACAGAAGGGTTTATAATGAAATATCTCCCTCCTAGTTCTGTTCCTAGTTACACAGTTTCTAGCCTGGAGGCCGCCAGTGGTACTTATTTTATATATATACTTTCAGAGATAGTTTATACGTGTATAAGTAAATATACATGTATATATTCGTTTTTCTTTTTTCTTACAACTGTTTCTAAACCTTGCTCTGCATTATTATGTCTCAAGCTCATACTATGTAAATACATAAGGAGGCCCTCCCACCCTTTTTAAAAATGATACACCATAATTTAACTAGTCACTTTTAGATTGACATTCAGGTTATTTCCAATATTTTGCGATGTCAAACAATTCTGCAGTGAATAACCTTGTATATATGTCATTCTGCACAAGTAAGTATATCCTTAGAATTGTGTTCTGGAAGTGAAGTTTACTGTTAAGTAATTTGAAGGTCATCCAGTATTTTTTGGATTGTTTAATAGAAACAAATTATCTGAAAATTATTTGATTTTGTTTTGAGATTAGGAAAATATTTGAAAATTGGTCCCAATAATTTTCTAGAAGTAAAACAATTTCTTCTCTCATTGTTTAGGAGATGTTAGAAGCTCTCAGGGCACTTTCAACTTTTTTTACTGAAAATAGTTTGCGAACTCGACGAAATTTACGTGGAGATATTGAACGCAGAAGTTTAGCCATTAATGAAGAATTTGTAAGCATTTTCAAGGAAGTGAAGGAGGTATGTTCTTTTCATTTAGCATTTTTGGGAAACTTACTATGCCTGTCACTGTGTTAAGTATTATTTTTATGAATTAGGTAGAATACATTTGCTTTTCAAGTACCATGTTCAAATAGGAAATTTAACTGCTTGTTCCCGCTGCATCTAGGTATTTATTTGGATTAGTCTGATTCTGTGACATCCACTAACTTATGCTGGTTCTTAGAAATTTGTAACAGTTGTTCTAGGCGATTCTCTTAGGAATTTTAGCTTTTTTAATAAATATGTTTTTTCTGAGTGGTTTTGCAGTAGAAATACCTTGACTGAATAGACCTCCCTTTTGATAACAGCTACTTAATTGGAGATTAATTTTCAGATTACTTAGCATCAGTTACTTTAATGCATAAATGAGTCATCATACTTGAGTGAGCAGTCTACTCACCATAGAGTGAAATATATTTTATTTATTATGTAATGTTAGCATGTTTGCATGTGAGATGTATGAAAGGGTTATACGTGGTTTCATTGAGTACTTAATAAATAAAAATAGATTATTTTTAACATTTTGGTAGCATTTCACTGATTGAAGTCTAATAATTTGGAAGTTTGAAAAGTAAGTTGGTAGTATTCCTTAAGAAAAAAAGGAGGAGATAGTAGTGATGAACTCATTTGGATTGTGGTCTCTAAACGCTATTTCCCACTGGAAGTACCCACCTTATCACTACCCTAAAGCAAGGAAGCTATGTAACACTATTGGGTAAGTATAACAAGGACTCTGAAGCTAACTTGAGAGGCGTTCGTTGGTCAAAGGATAATTTGAGCATTAGTAAGAGTAACTGCAATGGACTGAAACACAGCAAACATTTTTAAGTCCATGAGTTTACAATGATACTAAAAACCAAACAGAACTTAATTGTTTTTGGTAGATGTAAGGGAATTGAAGGAGCCCTGGTGGCACCGTGGTTAAGCACGTGGCTGCTAACTGGAAGGTCTGCAGTTCAAACCCACCAACTGCTCCATGGGAGAAGGATGTAGCAGTCTGCTTCTGTAAAGATTTACAGCCTTGGAAACCCTCTGAGGCAGTTCTGCTCTGTCCTATATGGTCACTATGAGTCAACATGGACTTGACGACAATTGGGCCATAAAGAACCAACTGATTATTTTGAAAACTGATAAAAGGAAAGACTCAAACATTTATTTATTAATTGCGCCCTACCCTCGTGGAATATTTTCATAAGCGCCATTATACTAATTTCTTTTCACGTTACTGTAAAAAATATTAGTGTAGTGGTGCTTATGAAAATAACCTCGTGGGGGGAGGATGCGGTTGGCAAACAAACATAGAAGATGTGCATTATTTATCTAAAAATGTGCTATGTTAATGCTATAAGGATGCAATGAGCAAAATCTGGAATGTTGGGAACCCCACAGGAAAATGAACTGGTTTGTTCAACAAATAATTGTTAGAAAAAGAAGCAGGAAGGAGTGAGAACCTGCAGATAAACAAAATAAATAAGAGATATATCAGCCAGTTGCTATTTATGAATGTTGTTTGGTTTCTGATTTAATACATTATGAAAAATGTTAGACAATCGAGGAAATTTGAAAACTGACTAAATATTTGATATTAAAGGATTAATGTTAAATGTTTAGTTGCAAAAACGGTGTTGTGGTTATATGTATATTTTTAAAGAGTCCTCTTAAAAGTGAATAATGATATGTTTATGAATGAAATGATATATCTGGAATTGCTTCAGAATAATTCTGTTTGTAGGGGAGGGACAAAGTGAACGGGGCAAGAGGCAGAAAGTGGGTTGGAAGATAGATGAAGAGTGGTAATGAGTTTTGATAATCGTTAAAGCTGGGAGATGAGTACATAGGGCTTCGTCTCAACTTTTGGAGATTTTGAAAATTTTTCATAACAAGTTTTAAAAAAGTTATATACCAGTTGGATTTCACAGCCTACAGCTTTTTTTTTTTTTAGTTAGGGGAAAAGAAGACTTTTCACTATTAAAAAAGTCAGAAATAGGAAGAACAATTACTTATGATTCTGTCACCCAGAAATAGCTATTATCAGTATTTTATTGTATAACCTTCCCTGTGTTTTCTGTACATAAATCATAAATACGTATTTTTTCTAAAAAATGGAAATATTATTTACGCTCTTTCATATGTTTATCACAGGCAGCTCTGTGTTGTTCATCCGCATATGTATGTTGTTGTATACTTATCTGATGAATTCCTTGGGATAAATTCTCAGTAGTAGAATACCTGAATAAAGAGGTGTTCGTATTTTTAAAGCATTTGCTGTTTTCTGTTGTCACACCCCTAAAAAATAATATATTAGTTTCTTCACAGCTTTTCAAGCATTAGATAGTATCATTTTCTTAATCAATTTCAGTCTTAAATATGGGATGTCTTGTCAAGACATGACAAAAAAACTTCATGGGACTAAAATGAGGACTAAAATAAAATAAGGAGACGAGAAATTAACAATATTTATAATGTTTAATGTAATTTTTCTCCTTTTCAGGAACTTGAAAGCATAAATGAAGATGTCCAAGCAATGAGCAGCTGTTGTCAAGATATGACTGGTCGCCTACAGGTACTGTAGAATGGCTAGATTTTAGCATAGTGTCTGGTAAAGTTTTCCAAAAATTTTTAATTACGTCTATACAATGTACGAATATCTAGTATATTGTGCCCTGTAGGAAGTTTGAATAGAAACATTGTGTTTTTGTTTGTTTGTTTTTTGAACTATAAATGCCTGTTTCTCTTTGGGTGATGGTCTGCTAATAGAGAGTAGTCCCCAACTTACGAGGTATTCAAGTTACGACAACTGCACTTGTGACCATCTTTTTTTTTAGTACATCTTATCGTTAGTAATATGTACTATTTAGTGTTGCAGCGCATAATTTGCTGGTGTTATTGTTCTCAGATATTCACTTGCAGATGTTCAAAGATCAGATTTATAAAGACACTGATAATAAAAGGCAATAATAATGAAAACCAAAAAAAAGAAAAGAGGTATTCAGCTTATCTCAGAACCGACTTATGATACGGAGTCTTCTGAACGAAACCCTGTAGAAAGTCGAGGACTACCTGTGTTGTTCAGTTAACTCCAGAAGCTTTTGTATTTTGATCTAGCCAGTACAGTGCTGTGTAGAATTTAGATAAAACTTTCAATTCTATAATGTCCCAAAAGTCCAGCAGGAGTGAATTCCTTAGAAGAAAACCTTAGGAATAAATCTAAACTAAAGCTATGCCTGAAAAAGACTCAGCTTAATTCTGATTCATGCTTAGCCTAAAAAAAATCCCAGGAAAATATGTAAAATTTTAGGTTTCTAGTGGTTGTCCCTTTTAGTTTCTGATTTTTACTGATAATTATATTTTTACTCTTTTTCCTATAGCTATTTTTAAGTGTAAAAAAAGATGAAAGTATTTTTACTCTCCCTGCTATTTTCAAAAGAGTTTATAAATATTTTAAATCCCAACCAAGGTAACTGTTTAGTCTTTTGTATTATCTTTGTGCCCGTGCCCCCAATCCCAGTTTTTACCCTATAGTGGTATGGACCTTTTTTCTCTCTCTCCCTTTTTTTTTTTGTGTCTACTTTATTGAAGAATGATTTATATACAGTAATAAACTGCATCCATTTGGAGTATACAAATTGATGAGTTTGGACAGTTTTATCACCTGTGAAACACCCATGACAACGAAGATACAGATCATTTTTATCACTTGTAAAGTTCCCTTAAACCAAAAAACCAAACGCGTTGCTCGAGTTGATTTCGACTCACAGCCACCCTAAGGACAGAGTAGAACTGTCCGTAGGGTTTCCCAGGAGTGGCTGGTGGATTCTAACTGCTCACCTTTTGGTTAGCAGCCTGAGCTCTTAACCAGTGTACAACAGGGCTCCAAGATTCCCTTATAGCTTTTAAATTGAATATTTAAAAATTTTCATACTACCCATTGCTGATGTTCAATTGGATTTCATGATTTTGAAGATTTTGTTCATCCCTTCCAATTTTGCCTGAAATTAATTTATTTTGATACAGTGTTTTTAAAACCTTAATAGTATTCATATTGTCAACTCTAGAGTAATGCTTTTAATTTATTCATTCATCAACAAACATATTTTTTGGAGTCCCCCCCATGCCCCTCAATTTTATTATAGGATTAATTTAATAAGTTAACAGTTTCTAAGGTACTTTTAATATGGTAAATTTTAGGAATTATTATTAAAAGTGAGGCTAGAGACTCTGTTATTGGCAAGATGCATATGAAGCAGTAAGACAAGAATTTCACTGAAAATCTGAGAACAGGGCTTGTAGAGGATTAGGCGTCTAAGAACCCAGAACTGGAGGCTCTTTCTAGATCTAAGGTAGCCCTAGAAACATTAGCAGCAAAAGCTTGGCTCTTTTTTCAGTGTTCCAGAATTAAAATGACCGAGTATGTGTTTTTGTCTGCTTTATAGTTTCTCCTAACTAGTGACATTAAAGTATGCATGATTCTGGCTCACTCAGTGTCCCTCTAAGGCATGGATGCCATATCCTCTACCTGCCTCATGACCATTCAGCTGCTACTCTCACTGCTAACTGCCTCATTTTTGTAGTATTCCCAGTGCAAGTTGTTTTTTTTTCTTTTTTCTTGTTTATTGTTGTAGTTTAAATGAAGTTTACATTTCAAATTAGTCTCCCATACAAAAATTATACATGCATTGTGATGTGACCCTAATTGCTCTCCCCATTCTGTGACAGCACACTCCTCATTTCCACCCCTGATTCCCCATGTCCATTAAACTAGCTCCTAACCCTCTGCCTTCCTGTTTCACCTCCAGACAGAAGCTGCCTGTTTAGTCTTTTGTACCTACTTGAGCTAAGAGGCACACTTCTCATGAGAAGAACTTTATGTCCCACAGTTGAGCCTAATCCCTGTCTGAAGAGTTGGCTTCGGAAATTGTTTCAGTTCTGGGCTGATAGAGAATCCAGGGGCTGTGCTTTCCGAGGTTCCTCTAGTCTCAGTCAGACCATTAAGTCTGGTCTTCTTACTAGAATTTGAGTTCTGCACCCCACCTTTCTCCTGCTCCATCAGGGACTCTCTGTTGTGT